GCTAGAGGCTTTCAACGACGCTAGAAGTACATTTTTACTTCGACATGCATCTACGATTCACCTTTGAAAATTACCATCTTTTTTCTCTTTACGTAGAGAAAGACGTTTAAATGAAAGTAAAAGATTGCATTTCATTTCGATAGGAACTCCACCATAGCCCGACACGTGTTTCGGGTTATTCAACCCATCGTCAGGAGCTCTTGTGGAAGTTCAACCGAAATGAAATGCAGTCTAGTAGTTGGCCATTATAACTAAAATAATAGCCAGGGTACGCTAGCAGCGACATCTATATGAAATAACGAGAAGTCGAGAGACCTCTCTGATAGCAAATTAGGTGAACCGCAAATTCAAAGCCTCTTGCTAGAGGCTTTCAACGACGCTAGAAGTACATTTTTACTTCGACATGCATCTACGATTCACCTTTGAAAATTACCATCTTTTTTCTCTTTACGTAGAGAAAGACGTTTAAATGAAAGTAAAAGATTGCATTTCATTTCGATAGGAACTCCACCATAGCCCGACACGTGTTTCGGGTTATTCAACCCATCGTCAGGAGCTCTTGTGGAAGTTCAACCGAAATGAAATGCAGTCTAGTAGTTGGCCATTATAACTAAAATAATAGCCAGGGTACGCTAGCAGCGACATCTATATGAAATAACGAGAAGTCGAGAGACCTCTCTGATAGCAAATTAGGTGAACCGCAAATTCAAAGCCTCTTGCTAGAGGCTTTCAACGACGCTAGAAGTACATTTTTACTTCGACATGCATCTACGATTCACCTTTGAAAATTACCATCTTTTTTCTCTTTACGTAGAGAAAGACGTTTAAATGAAAGTAAAAGATTGCATTTCATTTCGATAGGAACTCCACCATAGCCCGACACGTGTTTCGGGTTATTCAACCCATCGTCAGGAGCTCTTGTGGAAGTTCAACCGAAATGAAATGCAGTCTAGTAGTTGGCCATTATAACTAAAATAATAGCCAGGGTACGCTAGCAGCGACATCTATATGAAATAACGAGAAGTCGAGAGACCTCTCTGATAGCAAATTAGGTGAACCGCAAATTCAAAGCCTCTTGCTAGAGGCTTTCAACGACGCTAGAAGTACATTTTTACTTCGACATGCATCTACGATTCACCTTTGAAAATTACCATCTTTTTTCTCTTTACGTAGAGAAAGACGTTTAAATGAAAGTAAAAGATTGCATTTCATTTCGATAGGAACTCCACCATAGCCCGACACGTGTTTCGGGTTATTCAACTCATCGTCAGGAGCTCTTGTGGAAGTTCAACCGAAATGAAATGCAGTCTAGTAGTTGGCCATTATAACTAAAATAATAGCCAGGGTACGCTAGCAGCGACATCTATATGAAATAACGAGAAGTCGAGAGACCTCTCTGATAGCAAATTAGGTGAACCGCAAATTCAAAGCCTCTTGCTAGAGGCTTTCAACGACGCTAGAAGTACATTTTTACTTCGACATGCATCTACGATTCACCTTTGAAAATTACCATCTTTTTTCTCTTTACGTAGAGAAAGACGTTTAAATGAAAGTAAAAGATTGCATTTCATTTCGATAGGAACTCCACCATAGCCCGACACGTGTTTCGGGTTATTCAACCCATCGTCAGGAGCTCTTGTGGAAGTTCAACCGAAATGAAATGCAGTCTAGTAGTTGGCCATTATAACTAAAATAATAGCCAGGGTACGCTAGCAGCGACATCTATATGAAATAACGAGAAGTCGAGAGACCTCTCTGATAGCAAATTAGGTGAACCGCAAATTCAAAGCCTCTTGCTAGAGGCTTTCAACGACGCTAGAAGTACATTTTTACTTCGACATGCATCTACGATTCACCTTTGAAAATTACCATCTTTTTTCTCTTTACGTAGAGAAAGACGTTTAAATGAAAGTAAAAGATTGCATTTCATTTCGATAGGAACTCCACCATAGCCCGACACGTGTTTCGGGTTATTCAACCCATCGTCAGGAGCTCTTGTGGAAGTTCAACCGAAATGAAATGCAGTCTAGTAGTTGGCCATTATAACTAAAATAATAGCCAGGGTACGCTAGCAGCGACATCTATATGAAATAACGAGAAGTCGAGAGACCTCTCTGATAGCAAATTAGGTGAACCGCAAATTCAAAGCCTCTTGCTAGAGGCTTTCAACGACGCTAGAAGTACATTTTTACTTCGACATGCATAGGTGGAGTTCCTATCGAAATGAAATGCAATCTTTTACTTTCATTTAAACGTCTTTCTCTACGTAAAGAGAAAAAAGATGGTAATTTTCAAAGGTGAATCGTAGATGCATGTCGAAGTAAAAATGTACTTCTAGCGTCGTTGAAAGCCTCTAGCAAGAGGCTTTGAATTTGCGGTTCACCTAATTTGCTATCAGAGAGGTCTCTCGACTTCTCGTTATTTCATATAGATGTCGCTGCTAGCGTACCCTGGCTATTATTTTAGTTATAATGGCCAACTACTAGACTGCATTTCATTTCGGTTGAACTTCCACAAGAGCTCCTGACGATGGGTTGAATAACCCGAAACACGTGTCGGGCTATGGTGGAGTTCCTATCGAAATGAAATGCAATCTTTTACTTTCATTTAAACGTCTTTCTCTACGTAAAGAGAAAAAAGATGGTAATTTTCAAAGGTGAATCGTAGATGCATGTCGAAGTAAAAATGTACTTCTAGCGTCGTTGAAAGCCTCTAGCAAGAGGCTTTGAATTTGCGGTTCACCTAATTTGCTATCAGAGAGGTCTCTCGACTTCTCGTTATTTCATATAGATGTCGCTGCTAGCGTACCCTGGCTATTATTTTAGTTATAATGGCCAACTACTAGACTGCATTTCATTTCGGTTGAACTTCCACAAGAGCTCCTGACGATGGGTTGAATAACCCGAAACACGTGTCGGGCTATGGTGGAGTTCCTATCGAAATGAAATGCAATCTTTTACTTTCATTTAAACGTCTTTCTCTACGTAAAGAGAAAAAAGATGGTAATTTTCAAAGGTGAATCGTAGATGCATGTCGAAGTAAAAATGTACTTCTAGCGTCGTTGAAAGCCTCTAGCAAGAGGCTTTGAATTTGCGGTTCACCTAATTTGCTATCAGAGAGGTCTCTCGACTTCTCGTTATTTCATATAGATGTCGCTGCTAGCGTACCCTGGCTATTATTTTAGTTATAATGGCCAACTACTAGACTGCATTTCATTTCGGTTGAACTTCCACAAGAGCTCCTGACGATGGGTTGAATAACCCGAAACACGTGTCGGGCTATGGTGGAGTTCCTATCGAAATGAAATGCAATCTTTTACTTTCATTTAAACGTCTTTCTCTACGTAAAGAGAAAAAGATGGTAATTTTCAAAGGTGAATCGTAGATGCATGTCGAAGTAAAAATATATATATATATATATATATATATATATATATATATATATACATATATATATATATATATATATATATATATACATATATATATATATATATATATATATATATATATATACATATATATATATATAATATATATATATATATATATATATAAGGATTACTCAGATGAGTGGTGGGTTCAATCAATTATCGGTCAACTAGGTGGAGAAATAAAAGACAAAGACATATATTATATATGACCATTTGGTCATTTTCAACCGCAACAGGTGCCAAGTAACAAATGTCATTTTTTAAACATTCGCGAATGCGAATATATGCCACCGACTGCGAATGCGAATATTCAGTTTTTTTTAATTTGGCAATTTTAATTGTCTCAGGCACTGCCGGCAGTCTCATTTGCGTGTGTAGGCAATTGTAAAAAGTCTGTCATTTTTAACTGCTTTAAATTGTCCAGTATCATTCTATCATATTTGCTAAAGTAAAGATGTGAAACAGTTGTATTTATTTTAAAGAAGTTTATTGTAGGCGGTTAAGTTTATTGAGGGGTCGTTTAAAAAGGTATTTAGTATTTATTTATAGTCACGTCCGGGTCAAAAACGTAGAAAGCACGTTTTTCGATCTTATTTTCTCTTGTTATAATCAAATTTGACTTGTTATAGAGAGAAAGTTATAGCAGAGAACTAAGTTCTCTGGTTATAATTCTAATAAAAATTTCACGGGACACAAGTCACTCACTCACACAAGACACTTGCCCTGCTCTGCTCGTGCACAAATACAAGTGAATTTTTAGTTAAAGTGTGATTAGCGATTTATTACTATGAGTAAATCAAATTATAGTGAAATATGGACTTATTTTTCACCAATTTTCGATACTGAACGAGCTAAATGCAAGCTGTGTAATATTCGCAAAACATTCGCACAAATTTTGCGAATGCGAATGCAAATGCGAATATGCAAAAATATGCGAATATTCGCGAATGCGAATATTCGTTACATCACTACCAAGCATACAGTGGTAACTTCACTTTATATCTTTTCTTTTTTATATATATTTGTTATATCTTAATGTAGATAACTTAAATAATGCTACCAAAAGTTAAGATGAAGTCATAAAATAAAATTTTTTTGCATAGTTGGAAGTGAATCAATGATTTTCTTAGTTCTTTTTCACTAGTTAATATTATATGAAATATTATATGCTTATTAGACCACGTGTTCTGTTGCTTTGCTAATTTTTACTAAGTCTCTAAATGTTGTTAGTTATTTAATTGTTTATACAATATCACCATATGATGTCTATTTATTTGAGTTTTTGTACTATCTTTTTAATACCATTGACAACTACATATATTTTTAAAGATGAACTGATGATGCTATCAGAATTCGATAGCGAAACGTCTTCAAAATAGATGAAGTAGTATCAACTTTGTCTTTTATTTCTCCACCTAGTAGACCGATATTTGAACCCACCACTCATCTGAGTGATCCTTATTATATATATATATATATATATATATATATATATATATATATATATATATATATATTTTATATTTGTTTTGTATATAATTTGTTTTCATTACTTCGTTGTTTTTAGCTCTGGAGGATTGTCATCTTCATCCCCTTCTTCAAGAGATTCGGTGGATCCAATAGCAGAACTTTTATCTCAGTTATCCGGTAAGTTAGTCTACATTACAGTAAGTAAGTAAATATATACATCATATCCTAACAATACAAACAACTAGAAAACCAATCTTGTCAATTTCTTCTAATTTTCTACGATTTATTTAGTATCCAAATGTATCAGTTCAAGAATAAAATGAAAATGTAATGTGCCAAGTTAACTTTTATGTGTCATTAGTTTAAACTGTTATAATGCTTCTGCTTAAAATTCGGTACAAGGAACTTAATTGTACTGCATTCATATCCATATCTTCATCATCATTATCATCAGCGTTCACGGTTTAAGTCCTCTACCTGTTCCGTTCCGTCACTCCACCTCATCCTGGGTCTTCCAACGTTTCTTTTACCTTTCGTTTTGTAGTTATACATCTGTTTCGTAAACTGCTCGCCATTAATTCTATCTAGATAGATAGAATGAATATCGATGAATAATGACAGAATATCGAAACACTCCTTTCCGGGGGGTTTCTATATTCTGCAGTTTTGTCATTACGGTCGAATATATTCAACTCTTGTTATTTTTTGTTATGATCCACTTTTCGCTGTCATATTTTTTATAACATTTGATCTTTGTATTAATTTTCCTATATATCTTATAATTTCACACATTATTTTCGAAGTTATTATCTTAGTGTCAGTATCTCAATAAGCCAACCATACGTGTTGCCAGTAAGCCAACATTGTATTTAACCAATCTTTTAACACCCGTACACTGATGGATAATCTAAGATAATAAAAAAAAGGAGACTAAAAGAGTCAGATATAAAGAATCGACCTCTGTGGTAAGTACAAGCAACAGATTAGAATCTTTATCAACCAACAACCAGAAGTAGATATCCCAAATCCTTCAAACTACCTTAATACTCCAATACCTTCACCAATAAATTTACGGAGTAGTAGATATTCAGAAACTGCTAGAAAACTTTGCAATGCTTTACCAAATGATACAATAAAGATCAACGCCCACGTTCCAGAAATATACAGAAAATTAATCAGACACCTTAACGAAGAAAAAATCATTCATCACTCGCATTCGTTATTTTCACTATTCAGTTTCATCAAATGAAGTAATCGAAGAATTAAAAACTACTGTTAATGCTTTTGTATGTAGGTTTAGAATTCAAAACAAAACAAGAAACAGATTTTCAATCTTGAATTCCTATGGCACATGAAAAAGCGTTGAACAACCAACTAAGAACAGCATAATCCAATGCACTCGCTGCCAATATACGGACACTCCCAAACGTACTGCAAACGACCATATAAGTGGTTTAAATGCGCAGAAATCCCAATTTCACTTCATGCGAAAAACCTAAAAACACTCAGACCACATGTGTTTATGCCAAAAAGACCACCCATCGAATTACAGTGAATATGAAGTATACAGAAATGTAAACCATAGTCACAATGATCTTCGTTGACTGCAAACAAATAACTGTGATGGAATTTAAAGCTATGTTCAACGAATTAATCAAAACATCATCATCATGATTCTGGCTTTACAATCCTATGTCCTAGTCTCCTCAAGATTTTTTCTCCTGTCGTCCCTATCCATCTCCTGTCAAGCACGTATTCTTATATTTCTAATATCTTCATCGATGTTATCAAGGAACCTTGTTCTGGGTCTTTGTAGCTGGGTCATTTTGTTCCATCCGCATTACATGCCCTATCCACCTCAGACGTCCTATCTTAATATGTTTTACGATATCTGGTTCCTGGTATATTTAATCACAACAGCATGATGTTAAATATGCTATGTTCTGTTATAACTAAAATAATTTACTAATGAATATCGCCTCCATCTCTGACACGCCATAGAGAATGGTGAATGGATTCATCATCATCATCAACCTGTATGCGTCCACTGCAGGACATAGGTATTCCTCAGCTCTTTAAATCTGTTTTTGTCTTGTGCGGCTTGCATCCAGTTATTGGTAATACGCTTTAGGTCGTCAGTCCATGTACTTGATGGGCGTCCTCTACTCCGTATTGCTTCTTGCCTTGGTCTCCACTCTTGGCCAACGGATAACAAATCATAAAAGAGAATTAATTAATTTCCGGCAAATTAACAAGATTAATGTCATACTCATCTAGGAAACGCACTTCGCTAACTATTCAGTATTGCAAAGACCTCGCCATAAGTCCATAGTTTATAAGAAACATACTACCAAACAAACCAATTTCAAACGACAATACTATAAACAAATGTTCAAACATGACCATTTACCGTAGTCGTCACCTACAGTCCACGTAGACAAAATATCAGGACAAAAGAATATGAAGAACACAAAGGGAAGCATGGTTTTGGCTGAAGTAGACTGGAACACCAAGCATACCAATTGGGGCTCCAGAATCATAACAACCAAAAGTAGAAATCTACTTAAGGTTATCGCAAACCAAACTCACTTAGTTATTTGTCATAGTTTGTCGAATTTAGTACTGCAGATTGGAAAAAACGCTGGTATCACGTAAAAAAGTGGGACGAAAAATTCTTAAAAGCAGAACCTTTCATTGACTATGTAACCGAAAATCCTATTATAAATTTAGGTGAAAGGGAGCCGTTTCAGTATGCGGTGTACGGCAGAGTTTCTAGTTCGATATGCGGTCTACCGTCTGATATGCGGTCTACCGCAATTTCGATATGCGGAGAACGTCATCTATCATCAAATGCTGTTGAGACACTCACTAAAATTCTATATTTATATGTAGCACCAAAATAAAGTAACAAGTAGTTCAATTAAAAATTCAAAACTTTTATTGGCTTCTTAAAGTATACTTATATGATAAGATTTAATTAGAGGCATTTATACATATGCATTTCTAACATCGTACAGAAAAGCGATAAACTCATCTTCTATATTTCTTCGTAGCACTTTCCACATAACAAACCAAATAGGACTGCAAAGTACTGACAGGAACACCTCTCATTTTCTTCAAAATCGTCATTTTACCGTCCAACCAGGATCTTTCTATCCCTTGCGTATGTGCAATTTTCCTGGTAGTTAACGGTTGAGTGCACGTAGTCCAATTGTTGCAAATTGCCGTATGCTGACCATTCGTCCGAGTGCATTACTGACCCAGCTCCACTTCCCTTTGGGAACTAGGGTGGCTCTGTCTCTTCGCTCAACATGAAAATATCGGACCTTATCTTTAATCCGAAGACCCACAAACCGTCAATTCAGCGTCCATGATTCCGATTATTTTCCGCTTCAGCATCGCTGTCTTCTGATTCTTCTGGATGGTCTCCATTATTAACATTCGTCTTCTGTTGTACTTCCTTCTGCTCGCAAATCTGGCTTATCGATTTGTATTGGGTCTTCTTCCGTACCTAGAAGCTATCGACGACGATTCACTGACATCACAGAGGAACAGACTTCTCTACACATGTTGTACCAGTCGCATATAGCTTCTCTTCCTCTCCCCGTTAATTTCGATCTCGTTTCCGCTTTTCTTCCATTTCTGCCCCACATCGGTGGCACGGGCCAGCGTCTTCAACATTTTGGAATAAACATTTCGCTCGTAAAAATGCTACTGCCTCTGCTCTGCTCGAAATGACAGTTTTATAAAACTCTTTTAGCAACATTTTGTTTGCAACTAAATCAATCTTCATTTTGGGGCTCATTTTATACCAACATAGGTCATTAAAAGTTTTGATATTAGCGCAACGTAATTGCCCAGTAATGAGTTGTCATAATTTCCCTAATTTGTTTTTGCGTTCCTAATTGAACAGATATGAGTTTATTTCAAAGATTATTTACCTTTTACGTCTCTGTAATTTTTAAAAAATCCAAAATAATTTAATCGTCATAGGACGTAGCTTGAATAAATTCAGGTACTATTTAAATAATGAGTTTGTCATAATTTTCCTAATTTGTTTTTGCATTCCTAATTGACCAGTAATGAGTTTGTAATAGTTTCTCTATTAAACTGCCGTAGATCGCATATTAGGGTACTCTTATATTGGAACCGTATTTCTCCCGATCCGATCCGATGTAGGTCGCTTTTTCGATCCGACGTCGTCCAACGTGAGTGAAAATACTCCTTCAGTTAACGCCCGACCACCGACAATGAGTTCCGATGAACGTTTAATGTATTGGCTGTTGTTAGAAAACAATGTTCTTAAAAGAAGTAGAAGAAAATGTACAAATATACATAGATTTAATGAAGACAGATCTTCAGAATTTAATAAAACTTTCCAAACTTTACGTAACTATCCTGATAAATTCAAAGAGTACCAACTCATTAGTATAGAAATCTAACTATCCAATCTAAACCAATCTAACTTCAGGAATGCATCAGCCCCGAAAAAAAACTTAGGGTATACCTATATTGGAATTGTATTTCTCAACCCGATCAATCAAATTTTCTCTTTCCATTTCTGCCATTTGGCTCTCGTCAGAACGAAAAATCGAAATGAAACCAAACAAGTTTGATAGGAGAATCTACTCAGTCCGACATCGGCCGATATCGGTCGTTATCTGATCGGGGTTCCCACTGTTGTATAGGCACTATGCATTAATACCTTGAGTTTGTTTTCAATCTGACGTCGGCCGACATCGTCCGATGTCTAAACGGGAGAAATACGGTTTCAATGTAGGTGTACACTTAGACGGTAGACCACGTACCGAACCGGCACAGATTCTAGTTCCGAAACTGAAAAACAAGATAGTGGTTTTGATTATGAATAATTTCTTAGGTGGGTGTATTTATATTTATTCCCAGATATTCCATTAACTCTAAATTATTATTTGTTTTTTCTTTAGTTCAAATAAAATAATTATTTAGTGTATAAAATTATTATTACTAATTTATTGGTCAATTTATTATTAAAAATTATTTTAATGTTAATTTATTATTCGCAAAAAAATTTATCTCCTTTTTCTCAGATTATCTTCATTATCCACTTTTGCTCCTATTAACAAGAACCCAAATGGAATAAAATTCGTGTATTGTTCTCAGCAAAATATAATTACCCTTTGTTCTTAGAATATTAA